TCAAAGGATGGGTCACTTTGATCTCTGCGATGGGAGGTTTGTGATGTAGGTATGTAGAGTTCTTATTTTTTTCGTTTTTGTTTTTCTTTTCCTAACCTAGAAATAAATAGAAAGAACAGAATTTGAAGTGTGGGATAACATTCCAGAGCCCAAGATCAAGTGCTTAAGGAAGTGGGTAAGCAGAAGGGATTCTCAGGCAGGCTGAGATGCAAAGGCCTAGAGGGCTGCTCCAGTTAAGAAAGACATGCAGCGTGTGAGGCCTGGAGAGCAGGGGGAGAAACAAGGCTTTCGGAAAGCCAAGGAGGAGAAAACACAGGCCCCAGAACAAAGGGGCCACCACTTGATTGTGTGTGGCTGGCTGGGAAGTGGTGAGGAAGGAAGCAGATCTCCATTTGAGGACCTCCAGTCTGTGCAGACATTGCCTTCCTTCCAGCTGTGAACACGGACCAGCTTAGAGAAACCTCTCTTTTTTTTCCCTAATTGAAATGCAATTACATATAACACTATGTAAGTTTAAGGTGTACAACTTGCTGATCTGATGCTTTTATATATTGCAATATGATTAACTTTAGCTAACACCTCCATTGCTTCATATAATTATTACTTCTTTCTTTGTGCTAAAGATGATTAAGATCTAGTCTCTTAGCAACCTTGGGGTTTATAATACAGTCTTGTTGATGATAATCTCTGTGCTGTGCATTAGGTCTCCAGGACTTGTTTATCCATTAGTAGAAAGCTTGTGCCCTTAAACACCATATCCCCAGTCCCCCCATCCCTCAGCCCTGGGAATCACCATTCTACTCCCTGTTTCTCTGAGTTTGGCTTTTTTAGATTCCACATACATGTGATATCATGCATTATTTGTCTTTCTCTGTCTGGCTTATCTCATTAGCATAATGCCCTCAAGATCCATCCATGTTGTAAATGGCAGTATTTCCTTCTTTCTCATGGCTGAATGTTATTCCTTTGTGTGTGCATACCCCATTTTCTTTATTCATCCATCAATGGACACTTAGGTTGCTTCCACGTCTTGGCGATTGTAAATAATGCTCCAGTCAACACGAGAGTGCAGATATCTCTTCAGTGTCCTTTGGACGTATACCGAGAAGAGGAATTGCTGAATCATATGGTCGTTCTATCTTTAGTTTTCTGAGGAACCTCCATACTGTTTTCCATAGCGGCTGCACCAATTTACATTCCCACCAGCAGTGCC